TGGTGCAGCCCGGGGGGAGGCCGCAGGCTGTGAGCGTAGCCCAGGGGAAATGGAGGTCCCGCTTTCGGGTCCCCTCCTGCCCCCTGCTGCCCGGGGACCTGAGACCTCAGCTGTGGGCTGCTCCCGCCCCGGAGTCCCAGGGGCAGGTCCCGAGTGCTGGCCCGGAGAGTCAGCCTAGGCCAGAGCCCTGCTGTTCTGCTGGGGGTAGTTCTGACGGGAGCCTGGCGCATGGGCCTGTCCCCAGGGGAAATGGAGGTCCCGCTTTCGGGTCCCCTCCTGCCCCCTGCTGCCCGGGGACCTGAGACCTCAGCTGTGGGCTGCTCCCGCCCCGGAGTCCCAGGGGCAGGTCCCGAGTGCTGGCCCGGAGAGTCAGCCTAGGCCAGAGCCCTGCTGTTCTGCTGGGGGTAGTTCTGACGGGAGCCTGGCGCATGGGCCTGTCTCCCCGTCTAGAACGCCCTGGGAGGGAAGGAAGAATTCCTCCTCTTCGCTGCCTTCTTTGAGGTGACCATGATGGACCCCTCCGTAGGCTCCAAGCCCGTCCATTTTGAGATCTCCATCGGTGAGTGCTCTCCAGTTACACGTCACAACGTGTGCGCGTTCCTCAGCTCCGCCCGCTTCTCGCCAGCCACACTCGCGCCCTGGCCTGGCCGTGCAGGGCCCTCGCGGTCGTCCGGCTGCCTCAGGCCTCTTCAGGAGGGACTCGCGACTGCAGATCTCTGGGAGTGGGGAGAGCGAGATGGGGGCAGAAGAGGAGGCCAAGGGGCTCAGTGCTCGGGGATGAGGCCAGGCAGCTGTGGGCTCCAGGGAAGGAACCCCCGGAAAAGGCTTGTTCTGGAAAGCCCCGAGTGGGAGTGGGAGGTGGATGCTGGTGCCAGGAAGCTGCCAAGGCGCCTGCCCACGTGGAGAGGGTTGGGAGGGCTAAGCAAGGGAAGCTGCTGAGCCTGGCGGGGTCCTTCTGAGTCTAGCGGGGCTGAACGGCTCCCTGTAGCCAGCGTGAGCCGGTAGGACTTGGAGCAGTGTCTGGCTGTCAGCCTGTCCAGCTGGCACGCACCATGGGACAGTGCTCGTCCCTTCGCTTACGGGCGGGCGGCAGGACAGGGGGGTCTGTCAGCTCGGGGCCAAGGCAGGCTCAGCGAGAGCAAGAACCATCAATGTCTTTGCAAGGGAACTGTGGGAAAGCGGAAGAGGTTGTGACCAAGATGCCCAAGAAAGGGGAGAGAGGAGACGGGCCCGAAGACAAACGGCCTTTGCTGGACCCCAGCTCGGACGACGAGCGGGACACTGAGGTGGGGGCCCCCGGCCCCACGGCGCAGAACAGATCTGTGACGGAAAGCCAACGGCCAGAGCCCACGGAATACGACAGGCGAGTCCGTCACACGAGCCCCCTTTGCCTCTTCCTCTCCCGCCAGGCGTTCCCAGGGCTCGGCTCCCCCCCCCGGGTCAGGCTGGAGTGGGCCCCTCCCTGCCAGGGACCTAGGCCCCGGGGCGCTGGCCACAGGCCCCCGGGGGGAAGTGGTTCTGCCTAGGGCCGCAGAAGTGCTGGGCTGGGTACACTGAGGAGTTGGGATCTCGTGCTGGGTGGGAGAGTCCAAGGGGTGGGGTGGGGGGACCAGCCCGTGGGGCATCTCGGGATCGGGAATCGCCGGGCAGGATGGTGGGGGTGAGAGACAGCAGGAGGAACTCAGGCGCTGGCCACAGGCCCCCGGGGGGAAGTGGTTCTGCCTAGGGCCGCAGAAGTGCTGGGCTGGGTACACTGAGGAGTTGGGATCTCGTGCTGGGTGGGAGAGTCCAAGGGGTGGGGTGGGGGGACCAGCCCGTGGGGCATCTCGGGATCGGGAATCGCCGGGCAGGATGGTGGGGGTGAGAGACAGCAGGAGGAACTCAGTCATG